GTGCTGGTGCGCAGGCTGGGGTAGGTTGGGAGGGGTCGGGCGGCATGGGGGGGCCACTGGACTGCCGTCAGCGCCGCTGCGCCACATCGTCCTGCATGCGATCCAACCGCGCGCACCGATGAGTGGTGACACGACGATGACGAGGCCGTGGGGCGGCAGCGCGGCGGGCAGCGCGTAGCACAGGCTCTTCCCTCCGCCGGTGGGCATCAGCACCAAGGCGTCGCGGCCGGCCAGGGCGCCGTGAATTGCTGCCTCTTGAACGCCGCGGAACGCATTGTGCCCTTTAGATGAAGTGTGTGGCGGCAGCGGCGGCGGCAATGTTGCGGGGCAGGGGGAGTGGCCAGAGCTCCGTGCCCACCCTCGCCGCGCCCCTCCTGCAGGCAGCCAATAGCCGACCCTGGAGAAGCGGTCTTGACCACTCACCAAATGTGCGCTTGAGCGTCTCCAGCAGCTCCCCGCTTTGCGGCTGGGCGGCACTCATTGCAGATGTGTGCTGGGTGTGACTCCTCCTGATCCCCTCACTCCAGCGGCGGTGCAGCAGCGACTGAACTGATGAACCTGCTGCGCTGTTGCGCGGAAGTAAGATATTTCTAGTAGGACGCGTGGAACAGGCAAAACGGGCCTGTGGCCTTAATCATTATTGCTCAGGAGAGGACTCTAATCGCTGCTGGAATTGGGAGCGATCTGATGCAGCTCACGATATCCCTCTGAGACAATCCAGGTGTTTGACTGTGACTACGATATCGCAATCCATAGCCTAAGGGGCAGCACGATAGTAGCAGCAATGCGGTACCGGTGGTGGCCATGGTGACTGAAGTGACATGTGCAAAATGATCGACCTGACCGAGGACTCTCCCTACGCAAACAAGCACTCAGAGCTGCTTGTATGCACAGACATGTGCGCCAAGCAGTTATGATAATCACCTACACTACATGCATTTTGTGCGTTGCCATATACATATTGAGGGTGGTTGCAAAACCGAAGTGCCTGCATGCCGACTGCCATGCGCCGAGCGCGAGTGCAGCAGGTCGCGATCTGCGCCGACAGGAGAATCAATGCACACAATGCAGCAGTGGAAGTAAGTTGCGTTGCAAAGGCATAAAAGTTGCAATGAAGAGTCAAAGCGTGCTTAATGCGGTTGCTGTGCAGCACATCAGTGTTGCAGGCCGCACCAGCTGCGACTTCTCCTTGCTGCGTCTCCTGCAAGCCACAGCACCGTGTCGCCGCGGGGTTCTGGCGCAGGGTTTCTGCAGACAGCATGAATTTGGTGGAGCAGAGAGCATGACTTCGATGGAGCAGGGGGTTTGGTATAACGATTCGAGTATTCCGAGCTGTGGGGTTGTGAGTGGCAGTCAACGGCGCCGTGCGTTGATGGACCCTGCGGGGGTGTCACCGTAAAGTTAAGCCGGACCGCTGACCTGGATGGGATGTTGCCAGGTGTGAAGTGGATGTTGTGTGGCGGGAAGCACCGGTGGAGCGGGTCGGGGCATTAACGGTATACCCCACTGCACTTGTACACACTGCTGCTTGCCGCTCGCCGTGTCCAGTGTCGTTGGTGGCGGCCAACCTCTCCAAACGTCACCATGTAAATGAGTGATCCTCTCTACATGCATGATCAGAGGTGCTTGTATGCTGGCAAGCACTTGCAAAATCCCGGCGATGCACACGGTTGCTGACTTGACCATGCAGGCAGTTGACCAGCAAGATGCCAAGATCACAGGAATTGTGATCGAGTTTGCGCGGTCTCGTTGTTCCCACATGTTCGAGGATAAATCTCCTCTTCTCTGCGGCCTCAACAGCCTGATATGACACAGCATGGCGATCTGTACATGATATTGCCGCGGTTCAGCGGGCTGCTACTGTAGCTCAGAATGCAAGGATCCAGGATGGACGAAACGGTGCGTTTGGCTTCGCGTTCCTCAGGACTGCGAGTGGATACACAGCCTGCGCCCCTTGCCACCGGCATGCGTGCTGATGCAAGCGCTCCAGTCGCACACATCGCCGCACCACGCACGCAGCCTGCTTACCCTTCCCAGGCTGCAATTGACCACACCCCATCGCGCACCGACCTCATCTTGACAGGAAGCCGACCTCACCGACCTGGCACGAGCCTACTTGCTATTCCCGCCGCAAGGCCTCGGCCTCGGGCAGCTGCAGTATGAGGAGCAGCTGCAGCAGCTGCGCCTGGAGCAGCAGCAGCAGCAGCAGCAGCAGCAGCAGCAGCAGCAGCAGCAGCAGCAGCAGCAGCAGCAGCAGCAGCAGCAGCAGCAGCAGCAGCAGCAGCAGCAGCAGCAGCAGCAGCAGCAGCAACGCCTGCCACTTCACGCGATGGAGGAGGCTATAATGCAGGCAGGACTGGTGGCCATGTACACGGGTTCACCAGGGTTGAGCGCTGGGGTGAGGTGTTGGGAGAGATGTGGGACAGTGACGGGGAGCGTGTTGCAGCCTGCTCGAGTCTCAAGACTTCCTGCATGAGGTGATATGATCACAAACACAAAGCAACTCCTTGCTGCTCACGAGTCCCCTGCCTACAATTCATACACCGGGTGGCTCGAAAAGCCCTTGATTGACGATGGCACATGTGCCTTCCGAAACACTACGCACCTGCGCAGGCCGGAAAGGAGTGCATGCAGCTCCAGCAGCTTGACGCCATTACCAAGAAGCACGAGCACCACAACGACCTGAACAGCGCGCGGTCCAAGCTTGGGGTGGTGGACAACCTCGAGCGGCAGATGGACGCCATGCGGGCGGCCAGGGAAAGGCAAGATGAGAAAACAACAAAGGTGGGGGGACCTGAGGGCTGGCACGGCGAAGGGGGCCCGGGTTATAAAGTGCAGGCATAGGGAGTAGCATGGGTTGCGGTGGGTTGTGGCTGGGGTGCCGTTTTTGCACCACACGCCACACGTGCACGCACCCTGAACTCCGCCTCGCGCCTCAATAATGGTGGGCAATGTCGCACCCTGCTGCGTTGCAACGCCACCTGCCGGTCACCCGATGCAGGTCAAGCTGGCCGAGGCGGAGGCGGGCCGGCAGGCTGCTGAGGCGCAGATAGCGACTCTTCAGGGCAAGAACGAGCTGTGGGAGGTGGCGGCGGCCCAGCTGCAGCGGGAGCTTGCAGGCTGCCAGGTTCGGGCGGGTGGGGGCGGGGTGCGCCAGGAAGACATTGACTCATGCGGCAACGCTGCTGTGGCTGGAGCCAAAACGAAGCAGTGCTTGTCACCAACAGGCATGTGCAGTTGTGACTGGAGACATTTGCAGTCTAATGGAACACAACGCGTCTCATGGACAACGCCTGTCTTTTCTCAACCCCAACCCCACCCGCAACGCCACGCACCCACCACTCACCCGCCGGCCGCCAACCTCAGTGCAAGCTGCAGTCAGAGGAGGCGGCCCACAAGAGGGCCAGGGCAGAGGTTGCCGCCCTTACCGCTGTGGCACAGCAGAGCCAAGCGGCGGCTGAGCGTGCCCAGCAGGAGCTTGCGGCCAGCCAGGTGTGGGCAGTAGCGCTGGGTGGCTTGAAACGTCGGTCTTTTGGAGGGGCTGTCGCGAGATGCATCATCAGAATATTCCCGTGGCAACCCCCAGTACTGGGTCTCTCTTCCTAAATGAAGGGACTTTTGCCACCCAGTGCCCATCCCTGCACGCGTGCGCCACCACCAGGCCAAGACCAAGGTGGAGGAGGAGAACAGCCGCAAGGCCGCGGAGGCGGAGGTGGCCGGCCTCAAGGTGAGAGAGGCTGGGAAGGCGGTGAGGGTGCACGACGCACCTCGATTGTGCACGGGGATGGTGGTGGCTGTGGCTTGACAGTTGAGACTTCATCGAACCATTCGCATTTCTGTTGTTGGGTATGTTGTGATATGATGACTAAGGTATGCGGGAGCTGTATTTGGCAACGCCCATCGGGGTGGCAGTGGGGGGGCGGCCAGTCCGTGTGCCATCAGCAGCAGTCAAGTCAGGCGTGCAGTCACATGCCGGCCCCTCGTGCGCACGCCGTCACTGCACGGCCCATTGGCAGACCGCCCACAGCCATTGCATCTTCGGCACTGAGTATTAGTGATTGGCTGTGTTGATGCAGCCAACACAGGTCAAACATCACTTGTACCAAACCCTTACCCAATGCGCTAACCTATGACTTCATGGATGAACAGTATCACCGTACTCATGCTGTGGGCAAGGAACAAGGTGGGTAGATCCTGATGCATGTGATGTGGACGATATTGCTTTTTGCTTTGCGGTCAACGCGCGTATCGGTCCTGATGCATACCGCACGCGACGTATGCTATGATCCATTCGATGCAGCTCTGCCTGCAAGTGGTGCGCACATTCTGACCGGCCTGGCGTGCACGCCACGCTCTGCTGCTGCCACTCCACTGCGGCGCAGGTATGTGGGAGCAAAGCAGCCACCAGCTGTGGCCTGACATGATTACCCGGGAATACCTGCACCAGGAGCTTCCGGAGGAAGCCCCTCCAAAAACCCTCGAGGCAGCGCTTGCGAAGGTAGGCTGCCGAGCCGCGGCTTGCTTGGGCCCGGGTGTGGGATGTCGGGCCCATGCCAGGCCCGCGTGCCTGCTGGAATTGTGAGGGACGTTTCCTCGCTTTTGAAAAGCCAATATTTCTGATGGCAGTGCATGCAGGGCGTGCTCACCGCCCGGGGCGCACACAAAGCTCGTCTCTTGGAGGCTGCTTGGCGGCGCCCAGCCGTGCCGGCGACTTGCCACTGTTCATCAGTTCCGATTCTCACCTTCTGTGCCCCCTTCCCCTGGGTTGCTGCTCCAGATCAAAACGCTGAAGTCCGAGCTGTCATGTGCTCGCGGCGACGCGGCGGCCGGAAGGGTGCGCAGCGCAGAGCTGCAGGGGCAGATCGCCGAGCACAACAAGGCACTCCGCCGTTGGGCCAAGTCTGTGGAGGAGGACCTGGAGGCCGCCGAGGAGAAGGTTCGCAAGGCGGAGATGAAGGCGTTGGTCAGGGGCCAGGAGCACAGGGAAATGAAGGCATCAAAGGCTCGGATCTGCGCCCTGTCCGCCGACAACGAGGTGATGGGAGGGGGCTTTGGGGGGTTTCTTTGCGTGGATGGTAAGGCGGCTTGCTGGAGCATTGGGAGGTGATGGGGCATGGAGTTGTGACGGCTAGAATCCGGCAGGCTCCCACACACATGGCTCCGGGGCTACGGGCAGAGCCCCAGAGCCCTGCAGGCTCCAGCGTCGCTGATGTCAGCGTCGCTGATGTCAGCGTCGCTGAAACACATGATTTCGGCAGTGCTGGCAGCTTGCACACTTCTCTGCACCCTTAGCTCCAAGCCAGTCTGTCCCAGCTGGTAGTGTCACCACAACCACGACTCAGACGTACGTTCTTTGTCCCACCGACCACCATTCCAGGCGCAGCTGCGCCTCAGGACAAAGGAGGCAAATGCCCTGTGGGTGGTGGTGGGCTGGCAGCAGGGGCTCAGGGGGAAGGACGGGGAAGCGGAGCTGGTCACAAGCCAGGTGAGGATGGTGCCAGGTCAGTTGTGGTTGGGTGAAGCCCCATACTGTGCAGCTGCTTGCAAACATAAGCATCCTTGGTCGGTGACGCTACAGGGGCCCCTGCCACGTCCCTTTGCCACCACAGGCGAGGCTGGGGGAGGCCAAGCAGCGGGAGGCGGCCCTCCAGGCCGAAGCGCTGAAGCACACGGGCAGCGCGGAGCCGGTGCAGCAGGAGGGCGAGGTGCGCCTGGTGGGTTGAGTGCTGGTTGTGGGTTGCTTCCAGGCTGGGACTCTTCGTGAAAAGTATAAGACAAGGTCTGCTTTGGGATATCAGTTCAGCATGAGCATGCCCTTCTACACTCAAGTGTTGATTCGTCTCGAATTCGTCCATCCGCCATGGCACCCACCACCACTCTTTCCCCCGCCC